AAAAAAAAAAAAAAAAAAAAAAAAAAAGGAAAATAGAAAAATATGAAGATTGTGGCGCTGGAGAGGACATACATCCTCGAATTAGGGGTCCCTCAGTTATGATTTCCAGTGTGGTCCCCTCGACGAAACCTTTGTATCCATGTCCCGTCAAACGGGGAAAAAGGTGCCCCAGCCCCCCACCAAATCATTTTCCGCGTCATTTGTGCACCCTCCAAAACACTTTCTGCCATTTTTACACAGCGGCCGTTACAGGCCCGGCCGGGGTGCAAAATGACACCAAAAGTGATCTTGGGACCTGCGGCACTTTTTTCCCCGTTTCGGGGAAATGGATGCGAAGGTTTCGTCGAGGGGAGGTTTTATGACTTTTCGCCAACCTGTTAGTGTGTGCGCTCGTGTGTGTGTGTGTGTGTGTGTGTGTGTGTGTGCCTTTGTGCCTGTGTGTGTGTGTGTGTGTGTGTGTGTGTGCCTTTGTGCCTGTGTGTGTGTGTGTGTGTGTGCCCGTGTGCGTGTGTGTGCGTGTGTGCATGGGCACTCATGTTTCCCGAGCGTTCTTGTGCTTCTTTCGTATGTGCTCTGGGTACTACATGCTGCACTGCCGTCCCCTACATATCAGGGGCTTGCCTCTTCGTTATCTTCTCCTGTTCCCCATCTGAACCCTGTCCTCTGTATTTCAGTGTTTTTCTCTGTAACTGCTGGGGGTGCATAATAACGGAAGGTAGTTTTGGCGTTTCCTGGCTGATCGTCGAGTACGAGAGCATAGCGACTGCAGAGTCGCAGGCTCTTCTAGCATCGCAATTCGCACAGACAGAGAACACAACATTAATACGGCTGATGCCGTGTGGCAATCCTACCCCTTCTCCACGCATCATCACGTTGGCATTTAGCAATGGCATAAGACTTCCACAAAGATTCTGAGAACACGAAGCCAGAAGATAACGAATCTCGAAGACGAAAAAGAGGAGGAGATAAGGGGAAGCGGAGGGATACTGGATGAGCAAAAGGGAAGATGGAAGAAAGAGGAATTAGAAAAGTAAAGAAACCACGAAGATAAGGCAGGTTCGAACCTTGTGCTGAACTTCGTGATGCCAACGAAGGAATTATGCATGATTCAAATCTGTGTGCTGAGAGCGGGCAGTTGCAGTCAAGCTCTATTGTCAGCGTACTCATGGATTCCAGCCGTGATCATAAACGTTACCGTAATTTGGATTTGTCATTCTGTGTGTAGGTTGATGCAGGAGCATAGTTTGTACATTCAAGAGTTCGTGAACATCCTTTTTTTTTTTTTTTTTTTTTTTTTGAGAAAAGCTATGTAACACCCTCGGCGGCCAAGCGCGGGCGAGTCTGCGACCGCCGCAGACGTGTCCCCGCGACCGCGCGGTTTTGCGACCACGTGGCGGCCAGTGGGGAGGGGGGTTGGGGATATGGGAAGCGCCATGAGGAGACGCAACCCCAGCCCCACCCCCTCAAACAAAAAAAAAAACAAAAAAAAGACAATTTATTGGTTGGGGGGTTTAGGCTGAGAGCGAAGATAATTGAAAAAAAAAAAAAAAA